ATTATCTATGAAGTATCAATAAATATTTAATATACGCTTTTGACCGGTTCCATTATGCTCTTTATTAAATTTTTTTTTAAATCTCTGCGACAATTTCTTAAACATACCTCATTAAGGTCATGAAGTAAGTATTAATTGCAAAATTCGCAAATTTTCAAAAAATGCCGTTTCGGTTGCGTTCGCTTTAGTTTGTCTGAAAGCACTATCGGGACTCTCGTTACACTTTTTAATGCAACAAAAATCAAAACATCGATATTTTAAATCAAATGTAAACCACATTTTCGGACAAATGAACGAATACAGTTGTATCAGCAACCTTCTGCTAATAGCATTTGACAAGTTGATATTCATTCTTTCAAAGCAAGAATGATTGTTATCGGCTCTTTGGTGGACTTAGGAATGAAGTAAAACTTGAATTCATTGATATTTGATATTAATGGTTGCAAGCTTGTAATAAAACTATTATGGTAAGAAAATAATATTCGCCTTACCGCGTCTCTGTAGTATCCATCATCTGAAATCAATGCATTACAATTGCGAAATATTATATTAATTGCGAGTTGGATCAGGTAATAATTGATCGATCGATCGATCCTGTTTTAGTTTAATTTTGATTATACCCTGTAAGTTGTAGTGTTTTGTCAAGTTCGCTACAAAATTATAAGAAAAATCCGGTAAATCTATATTTTTTGCTTACATCAGACGTTCATATCAACTTTTGCAGCCGCAAGCGTTATGATACCAGCAAGATGGTCCAAGGACAATGTAAGACAGCGTTCTCAGAGATTTTCATACTTTTTAAGATCTCTGATGAACATTGCGCACAGAGGAAGAAATATTTGTTAGTTGAAGGCGCTCAAGATTCAGCTTAAACCCGTATCTATAGATTTTTTTACTTCTTATTGATGGAAAACACGTTTTTATGCAAGTGTTCCTTATTTTTTTCTAATGGTGTGCACGTAAGCATTAAAGTGGAACCAAGTTAGACTAGAAAAAAAAAAACATAATAAAAAAGCCGGTAAATGCGCTTTAAATGAAGTTAAGAATAAACATAAGATATACGTAGCAGAACACTACAACTGAATGACTCATTGTCATCGCTTTGTTTATGTTGTTTTTGCATTTAACTGCAAGCGTGTGTCTGCCGTATTGCTTCATATGATAATTTGAGGTAATCAGACATACAATAGCCATACAATCAAAACCTGTAATTAGTAATATTTACACAATTTTAAATATGAAATATAAAGACCAAAAAAAAAAAAAAAAAGAAAAAAAAAGAACATCAAAAAAAGGCTATTGAAAAAATAATGACCTTCTTGCGCACGAGATTGCTGTGCAAAAGGAACAAAAAAAAATAAAAAAGAAGCAAAACATACATGTATGTATGCGTATATGTATAAAAAATATCATTATCAACATTTTTTAATTATACTGTAGACAATGTTTTGTTAAAAAAAAAACAAATAAATATTAAAAATCAAACTCATTTCACTGAAAGAGATTATTTATTATAATTATTATTATAGAAACTAATGATCAAAAAGTACAGAGAATGATTAAATTCTGAAAAATCTTATCCTTGTCGGAGATATTGGATTATTTTTAATAGAACTTTGGATAAGAAAATTGCTTCACTTTCGCTATATAGTTTGAAAGATTATTAACTGATTGCTGACTGTTGATATTTGTAGATCTCTGACCCCGTTATCGCTTATGACGCCTTCGTTAAATGTAAGCATTTTGCAAGTTTTCCTTTAACGCTCCTGTGATTGGCTTTATGTCTAAAGTATTGCATAAAGTACATTGACTCTATCGATAAGAGATACGAAGGTTGTTGACACTTACACGCTGCTAGTAGGTTAAATTAGTTAAGATATTCAAAAGTAGGTTTACGTTACTACGATTCCCAATCATTGATAGATTATTGATTTGCTTTAATCTTAATAGAGCAAATCCACAGATGGTTATATTTCAAAACGTAGTTTTTACTGAAACATAGATAGCGTTGAGACAGAAAGACGGACACTTATGTTTATATCTATCCTGAAACGAATCTGAGAAAAAGTGAATCTATCTCATCTTCCTTTTCGGCGTTAGATACATTCGTACAAACCTATACTTTTACTGCAAGAGATGTAGAGCATAGAAAGTGATTATCTATATCGTATAGCAGACAGTTTTTAGCTCCCTTCGAAATTGAATAAAGAAAATTGTGGTTTAAACAAAAAAAATATATGAGAAGATCATGTTACTTAACATCGCGTCTTCACTCTCTCTTGACATTTTAACTGTTTGGCTTAGTTAGTAAGAGCTAAGCAATGGTAGATCTAATAAATGAATCAATATGCCAACATCAGTTTCCCATCGTTGTTTTGTGATTGACAGATTGTCTGACGATGAATAATGAAGAAGATTTCAATAAATGCCTTTTGCTTCGCATGTCCTCTTTGTCGGCTCTCAACAGTTGAGATTTGAGTAACTCACCAGGGTTCGTTTTTATAAGAAAAAATTTTACAAAAACACTACCACAAACTAAGAAAAATTGCTCACAAAGATGTTTGTTTTAGTTTAGGCGAACTTTATATGTTACAAAATCCACCAAAATTCAGACTCTATTGTGATCTTGGGAGCTTAAGGGCCGCTTTAGTCGCTACCTTACTCTATTTGAACTTGTGTTGAGATTTCACTATCCTTGTTTGCAAACACTATCTATGACGAAACTTGGGAAGTGAATTACTAAGAGTGATTACGTAAGAAAAAAGGGAAGAGTTTAGAAAGTGATGAATAATATATATTGTGATGAATGTATATATTTTAAAGTTGTGGAAATTTACTACAAACTTACCCGGCAGCCTAAAAGTCTCGATTCCGATTCATAGTTTCTTTTTCTAAAAAAATTTTGTTTGCCTTTATATATACACATGCGTCTTTTAAATTATGAAGACGTAGTCGACTAAAACATAGTCCTAAACATAGGACTTTGTTTAATATTCGTCAAGAAGGTATGATTCTGGGTGAATAAAAGATATTACCGTCCGTTTGCTTTGTGCTTTCCCATCTTTTCTTTCAAGCTCAAGGCTCAAGGCTGATAAAGTGGAGATACCAAGCTTGACAAATACTTTGCTGGTTGCAGATCAGCTTTAAGGATGAAGGCGATCTGTCCAACTACTACGATAAGAGATATCGCCTCAAACTTTTCTTGAGGCCAACTAACAAAACCAATGCTGAAACTGTTCCGATCGATTATTTGTCATTTTGCACATTCGAGAGGATTGGTTTAATCTCTTGGATATCTTGGATATATTTGCCCTAAGTCGGATATAACTTTCTTCCCCGTAGTAACTTTTCCTTATGAATGTTGAAAACTTTTTGCGTATTTAATTGTTTTCATAGTCAAATAAGTAGAAAAATACGAGAGAAAATCCAAGTAGCGGCGTAGTGAGCCTTTATTTTCCCGAAAATTTCGGGAAATGCTTCTACATCAAATTTTGTAGATTGCTCTACGATGCGAACACACGCTCATCCACACACACACATATATATATATATATATATATATATATATGTATGTATGCATATATGTTTGTATACATACACATTTCTTTGTTAAGGTGAAACTGGAAATTTCTCTGCTATAATTAAATTTATGTAAATACATTTAAAAGTTGAATATTGCGTGCGTATAATATAAACGAGGCCATAATCTCTGCAGTTTAATTAAATTGATGTACACAAATGAATATGTTTGTACGTTTGCATCTGCATCTGCATATGAATGCTGTAAATATGTATGCAAACCGATACTTATATAAAAAAAAAAATAAAAAAAATTAATAGGTATATATATACACGTATATATATACACGTATGTATATATATATATATATATATAAAGAAAATGAACAGATAACAAAGCGCAAAGAAAATTTCCATAAGACCGGGCGAGTAGTCAACCATGAATATGTAAAATAGAAAATAAAGCATATCGAACTGCTCGAAGACTGCAGTTAAATTGTATTTAACCACCATTTTGAAAACGATTAAAAAGGTTTTGTTTTATTATTATTTTTACGTATTGTGTTCATGAAAGTATTGAATTGTTGTAGTTTTGCTTGTTTCATTTTCAGTTTAGTTAAAGTTCATTGTATTCACAATTGCAATGCTGACATTGTTGTTGTTTTTATTATTATTATTGCTAAATATATGTACACATATAAAAAGGCCACCACACTAAGCGAGTTTTTAGCTTTTCGAAAAGAGAGGGAGAGAGCTATCGAGAGAGAGAAAGAGAAAAAGGCAAAGAGAGCTGTAAAGTAAAAATCCATAAAAAATGTATTTTTAAAATTATGTAAACATTTATTTTCATTAAACATTATAAAAAAAAAAATTTTATTCAATACAAAAAATAAGGGGAAAAAGTTAATAACAGCAGGATTTTGGTATGTGATTCAATAAAGTATTTAACTAAAAAGTTTTTATAAATCACAAAAATCTTGCATTAAATGTGTTCTATATATGTATAAATATTTGCATTTATAGGATATCATCAGTTACAAGTAAAATTCAAAATTATTTCATAAAAAAAAAAAAAAAAAAAAAATTACTTACATACTATTACAATCAATTAGATTAGATTTTTTAAAAAAGAAAAAACGAAAAACTTCTCTTAATTGGCAGGGATAAAAGAAGAAACAGTTATCCTTACAGCTTAGCACTGCTAAGCAGTGCTAAACCGTAAAGATTAACTGAATTTTTACTTTTACAATTGCTATTGTTTCTTACTAATTTTTAACAAATTTTTTTTTTTTTTTTTTTGATAATTATATGAAAGTATATATTTTCCAATAGAAATGAATTTACTGAATTTTAAAATTTCTTATTAAGTCTAGTATGAAGATATCTCTATATGTATATATATATATATATATGTCAATCAAAATAATATCTTCCTTTCTTTTTGCTCCTTCTCAAAATTGTTGTTATCTTTTCCCGTTTTATGCTTTCTTCAATTAGTTATTCAAAGCCGTTCCGTTTCCTTTGCGTCTTCTTCTTCTCTTCTTCTTTACAATTTTCGTAATATGCTTTATAAGTTTCAATACTTTATTTGTTTGCTTTTATTTATATCAATTTTTATGTACAAGTTTTTTATTGTTGTTCGTGTTCATAAATTTGGTTAACAATTTTCTGGAATGTCCATTAGGATCAAAATGATTGCTATGTTCGCTGGCTTCACGTTTTGTACGATTTTTTCCACTATGACCAGAAAATATATACTTATCTTGGTCATAGTTGTAATGGTCGTATGCATCAAAATAAGCCTCAGACATATTGATTGAAATTTTTTGTTATTAAAAAAAAAAAAAATTTGCAACTTTTTTACACTGTTTTCTTGTTTTTTTTTTTTTTTGTTCACTTTTTTTTCTCTCTCTCTTAAACGATTTGTTTAACTTAAACTTTTTCTGCAAAAGAAATTTCTTTCCTCGATTATTATTATTGTTGTTGTTGCAGATAAAACAATACCAGAATTGATTGTTTTAATATTTATTTATGCAAATATTTTTCTACTATCAGCAGACCTCGCAGTCCTCGTTACACTTTGTGTAAAATCGCAATCAAAAATTAAACTTGTTTGTTGGCAGACTCGGACTTTTATATACACAGGCAGCCATCATAAAAAGTGAGTGTTACAATAAACAAAAAGAGATTCGCTTAAGCTCTAATAAAATTTCCTTTGCTCTTATCATTCTCCCTCTCTCTTTCTCTCTCTCTCTTGAGATTTTAGTCTATAGATTTTCTGCGCGAAATGAAGATATGCTGAGTTAAGCTAAGTGTTGATAATTTAATTTAAAGTTTTCTATTTAAATGTAAGGAATATGTATAGGAACTTTTTAGAATTTTTTTTATCGCTTCATTTTATTCTCTGCGGTAAAATAAAAAGTTGAAGAAAAAACAGAAAGTTTTAAAAGTTTTTTCGTGGTTTTATTTTTTCAGACCTTAGGCATTAATAAATTTTTAGAAAAATTTGAATTCTAATAAAATGGAAGAGAAAAGATTGTAGTTGTGATTGTAGCCTTTTTTACGATTCGTAATTCTTTTCGTTTCGTAATTTATTGCAATTGAATTTTTCATATATTTTTTTACTTTTTATTCCCCGTTGTCCGCTTTCAAAGCTTGACAAGACATTTTATCGTCTTGAGTTCACCTATGATACATATAGTTTATAATAAAATACATATATATATCAAGTGCTTTAGCGATCTGTTGATTTCGACGAACTCAAACTATCAAAGCACATTCGGACAGCTTGACAGTTGATGAATCTCACTGTTTTTATACGTTTGCATGCGAAATTGCCATTGCGAACCTTTTAAACATCGCGATTTCATTGCTTGCCAAGCAAAAAAGAAGACTTATCTGTGGCGTACTGTACCTGGCGTTGGAAAGTGGATCTACTACGTCAATCTCAAGTGCAAAAGGCCATGGTTTAGTCCAGGAGAGGGAGGAGTCCATCCACATCGACCATGAAGCGGAATATTCACGGCCATAAAGTTTTGCTGTGCATACGATGGAATCAGCAAGGTGTAGTGCATTACGAACTATAAAAACCGAACGAAACTGTTGCTGCAAATGTCTACGGATGTCAATTGAGCAAGTTGAACGATATAATGTTGAAAACAAGCGGTTTGTAGACGCAAATCATCCTCTTGCATGATAACGCTCGGCCATACGTTGCACAAGTTTTCAAGGATACACTATTACAGCTCGAATGGAAAGTTTTGCCACACCCAACGTGCCACTTACTCAAATCGTTGCAGCATGGCTTGAGTGAGATACATTTTCGGAATTCTAAGAAGCGCGAATATGGTTCGATGATTGAATCGCTGCCAAACCAATAACGACATGGGATCGCTGTGTTGCCAAAAAGTTGTAAAAAAGTTGTACAAAATGATGGAAACTATTTTGATTGATGTATATTGTACTAATATTTCCCAATAAATGCTTTTTTCAAATGGAAAAATAATCAAAACATATGCAAACACCTAACATGTTAGGTGTGCCAATTTGGGAACCGATCTCCTCATATATGCTACTTATGTAAATAATGGCCTTTTAAGAGCTTCACAAGCAAAGGGAAATATTTAAGATGCAGGCTTGCTTAAAGCTTGGATTCGCAAAATAGAAACAGTACTATAAACAGCTAAATAATATATCTTATGGAACAAAAGCGTACTATTTTGAATTAAAGATAAACGTGCACAAAATTCGTTATGTACGTGTCCTTTATTTTATAATTAAAATTATCTCTATTGCGGTTGTGTTGTGGTTTTTATTTATATGCCTTTTTTTTTCTTATTTTATTTACGTCTGCATAGAAAAAAGTTAATGCGCATTTTTTTAAATTTGCTTTAATAATATATTTCTTAACGGTATTAAATTTTTCTTCTTTTTTTTTTTATAAAAACAAATAATTTATTATACCTAAAACAAAAGAAAGTAAAATAAACGGAAAATAAATGTACTCCAATTTCACCGTCTCTCTCTCTCTCTCTCTCTCTTTGTTTGCAAATTATACGCTCTCCTAAAATAAAATATCTCTTAATATGCAGCTTATTTGCTTTGTAACTTAAAAAAAAAAAGAAAAAAATATACCAAAACTAATCTCAGCAATTGTCTACATTTGCCATTCGTTTTGTCTTTTTTAACGACCAAGTGGGTGCTTAAATATTTTTCCTGTTTTGCTTAAGGTTCTGAAATGTTCTTTCGTTTGTTAAAGAGAGAAATTTCCTATTAATGCATATTACAATGCCATAAATGTTTGCCGTTTCAAATGGCTTATATTGTCTTAAGTTTTTTTTCCTTTTTTTTTTTGTTTTTTTAAATGCAAAAAAACAATATAATAAAAGTAGAACATATACGTATATACGTATGTGAATGCCAACAAGTTATTGAAATTCGTAATATTTATAATTTATTAAATAAATATTTATATATGTCTACTACATTTCTAGAAATTACACGTAAGCTAAAGCATTTTTAAAATTATTAGAAAAAGTGTGAAAAATCGTAGTAAGGTATCATAGTTAATTGGAAAGGAAGGAAAAGCAATTTCAACAATCAGTTTTTATATGGTGATTCAAATTTTATGACAAGATGAGGAAAATAGCAACGAAAGTTATTCTTCCTCTAATGCGAACTGTAGGAGAACAATTACTAATCATCATCAATCAATCGGCATTATATAGTCGGGCAAGGATGTCATTAACTTTGGTTTTATCTAATATAGGTCAATACTAAAGATTATACCTTGTTCCCAAGACGTTCACTGACGTTCTTCAAGCTTGGCAAATTAAATTTTCGTGCACCAAAGATCTTATTGTCTTTCATCTATTTTCATTAAAATTCCCCTCGTTTTTCTTTGCTTACTTATTTTCTAATTCTGCGGCATATTTAGTATCCAAAAGTCATTGTATAATAACAATGACAAGGCAGAAGGTTTTCTTTGCAGTTGCAGTGGATAAAGCCTGCCGATAATTGGAAAGATGAACGGTAACGTTCGCCTCTCTTTCTTGCAATTTGGAATCGTAAGATAAAAGGGACAGTTAAAGTACAACGATAACTGTTTTCATGATTTATAAAATGCGACAAAAGTGCCACAATCGCGAGAATTGATAATATTTCTTGCTTCTTCAAATAAATTCAATGACATATAATGAATATATTAAAATTGACCCATAAATATTATAACTGACAAATAGGATTAATCGATCTCTAGCAGACTATAAGCGTCAGATATTTTTCATGTGATAAACATTTCTTCGATAAAGCCACTGGTTGATCACGACCTCTAATGGATGAAGAGATACTCTTTATATAGATTGTTCAAAGCGAAATTGAAGACGAAATTTAATTAGTTAAGTCCCTCTTGCCAAACATTGGCTGCTAGCTGTCGCCTGATATGATTGTTCCTCAATCCACTTCAATCAATCGCGTTTGCTGCATTAATGCTTTGGAAACTGTCGCCAGCAGTGTGCACAAAGTGAAACAAATTCAAATGAATAGATTCTTCTGCGGGTCAGCAGCCATCCACCACTGTTAAGCTCCATGGTGTTTTGGCCTAAGCCATAGTGAAGTATTTCCTCCAGCTAGTGCACCCTGTTTGACAGGAAGTGGAAGCGAAGGCTATTTTTTTTTGTTTTTTATTTATTTCAAATTGATTACGAAAACAAATTCCAACAAAAAACTACAAGAAGTGCAAACAAGCCAAAACTTCAACTTAAGCTGATATTACTATAAATAATAATATACCAATATAAGAACTATCTAACTGTATAGCGCTCATTACATAGCGTAATTAAAAAATTCATTGTATATATTGGTTATATTTAATAATAGAATCAGCAAAATTTTCAAAGCGGCAGTAAAATGAGCGAGTCTCAAAGGAAAGTATCGTATCGTAAAGTCTGACACGGAATATTGATGTCGGCAATGCTTAATAGACAAAAAGAGAAAATCCAGCCCCGAATAAATGAAACAATAAAAATCATCCCAATATCATTATCATCAGGTTAAGTCTGTTTTCATAGGTCGAAAGAATGCTAGCGGCATCCCATTGCAGATCACGTAAATCCAAGAGAAGAAAAAACACATTTGCAAGCATACGGGTCATTCAACTCTTTAGCCCATCCCTTAATAAAACCCAAAACCGACTTAGCTTTCTTAACGGAAAACTCAATATGATGGCTAAGCTTGAGTCTGGAGTGAAATATCGCAACCAAATCTTTAAAGCAACTTACATTCTCCGGCACGTAATTGTTGATTGAATAGCAAGTAGACACTCGATATAACGATTGCTTGCAATCGCCTCTTCTGGAAGGCCCTGTTAGGTAATTATCTTCTTGCAGCAACATTTCTAATTAACCCGATATTTTTCCTGACTTGGGCTATCAAACAAACAAAAAAATACGATTAAAATTTAGGTTCGGCGAGGTGAATCTTTCACGGAATACTTTAAAAGGTAAAGAAATCTTTATACGTCTATCTTATTTACGTTTTTTTATTTTCTAAATTTTCAAGTTTATTGGCATTGCTTAGAACTGTTTCAACTTTAGGTGCAATAGTTTTTAATTTACGTTCCATTTTTGCTTTCGAATTCATTTTCTTTCTTGTCCTTTTCTTATATTTATCTTCGACTTTTTTAAGAGTTGTTCGTTTATCCGCTTTTGTTTCTTGATTATCTAAATTTGGTAAACTAAATTCGTCTAAATCTGTTTTACTTTCAAAGGCATTTTCCACTATTTCCGGTAACTCTAATTGTATGGCTTTTTCCGTATGCACTCTTTGCACATGTTCCTTCAATTTATCGGATCGATGACTGCTGAAGGAGCACAACTGACATTTATACTTTTTCATTTCATCTGCATTATGTTTGATGGCGTGGCGTTTTAAATTTTTACTTAAGCTAAATTTACAGCCACATATCTCGCAAACAAATGGACGTTCTTGCTTATGTGTTTCGATATGCAATTTAAGATTTTCTTTGCGATTAGTTTGGTGATGACAATCCGGGTAAGTACATTTGAAGAATTCGCCGGTATGACGTAATTTATGGGATTTCAATGCTTTCATATGTATGGTACTGTAACCGCAAACATCGCAAAGCATAAGCTTTTCATTATTATGCACAAGTAAATGTGTATTAAGACCCTGTTTCCATTTAAAACCCTTGTCACAGTGCGGACATTGATAAGGTGTTTCTTTCGAGTGTTTGGGTTGGTGCAATGTAAGGGCAGCACGTGTCATAAAACGCATTTCACATTCCAAGCAAAAGAAAGGTTTTTTCACATCGCTTCCGTGACGCCGAAGATGCGCATCATATTCACGCCAACCCAGAAAACCTACTTCACATAAAGAACAAGTTAAATGCGATGCTTCACAGCTACGCATATGGGAAATCATCTCATGAACACGATAGCATTTGAAATCGCAGGCAATGCAAAAATTGATTTTACTGTTGGCGGCAGAAGCACGAGAATTTTTTAGCTAGAATGGATAGAAGAATAAGAATAAGTGAATTCCTATTAAATTATATGGAAAAAATATACTAACTTTAAAATAAGTTTTCTTCTCCTCGAATATATTATCAGGCTTATTCTGCACTTGCTTTTTGTCGTTGCTTGTAATTAAATTCGTTGACTCCTCGGATGGTTTCACAGATAATATATCAGTTTCTGATGTTTTGCAAAAATCCTCCATTGAAATTTCAACAATTTGTTGCATTTGCTCTGGTATTTGAAATAATTTCAATATTTCACTGACTATTAAAATCTTAGCCAGCTGTTTAAAATGAGGTTCATGCTCTTTTACAATAGATACAACATCTTCATAGAAAAAGTCACCTATAGTTTGTAAACATTCTGAACAATTAAAATTTTTAATTGTCACTTTCAAAGGATTGTGTATGGAGAACTGTAGGGATTTCTGTAAGAAATGCGAGCCTCCTATAAAGCGACTTTGAGCAGCTACTACGCAAAAATGACCAAAAATCGAATCACCGCTTTCTAGTTCAAGAATTAAATCGCAGAATTGTCCCTGTCGTCGCTGGTCATTCAAATAATTTGTTACTTTGGAGTGAAGAGGCTGATGCAAAGTGGGTGCTACGACGTTGCCTTGGGTTTTTAACATGATATTCAATTTTGCTTTTTATAATAGTTAGTTGACCTTCCAGCACTTTGATTTGTTTAATAGTCGAAACTTGACTTAATTTTCTTTCTTATTAAAAGTAAATAGTAATCAGCTGTTCTCAGCTCTTTTTAGATCATTCACAATAGTCGCAGTAAAGAGTGCTACTGTGTTTTTTTCAATTATTATGTTTTAACGGCTGTTTAGAATTTCTCATTCACTTCTTGTTGTAAACTAAGAAAAATTTTTCCAATTCTCGACCAGTAGTGTGAATCAAATTAGGAACCAACACTTAAATCAAGTCCTCGTCTTATGCGACTATTGTAAAGTGTTCAAGTAAATTTTTTCATTCTCATTTTGTAATTTACAATTAATAGAAATAGATAAATAAATAAAAACTAAATCTAAAAATTAAGGCAATTTCCTTTATTGTTTGTTTTGTACGGTACAGTTTTGTTTACTCTCTTTACAATTGAAATAATTATTGCAAAAATGTAATTTCAATTTAGTTTTTTGTTAGTCCTCTTTTTATTCCATTCTAAGGCTAAATCTACTAAAGTTGTACCGCGATAAAAATCGACAGCTACTATATTTGCATTAGCTCCCAAATAATCGCGATAAAGCCGACTAATTCGCCAGTTAACTCTATCAGCCATTTTACGTAGACCACCGTACTTGTTGACAATCACTCCCCAAGCTTGAGGTGTTAATTCAGCCATATCGGCTACGGGGCGACTGGAAAGGCGTCTGCAATAGCAACCAGATTTTTTTATTATACAAATATCTAAAGGGGTTTATTTTAAAAACTTACGCAACATCAAATGAATTGATAAATTTTAAAAAGTTCTCCAATTCCTGCCAAGTTTGCACGTTACCCCAACGCTGTTCCACCGATCCGAATAACAAATGGGGATATTGCATTACTATTGAGGCTTTATCGTAGGCTAATATAACATTTTGTTTTCTATGCCAAATATCATTGAGTGAGGCACGCCAGGTAGCCGAAGGATGAACTACAAAATCACCAAAATGTTCTTTGAGGTATTCTACCAATATATGATGGACTGTTAGATTGCGTCCAAAACCTTGAAAAAATGCAAAATTTTTAATGTAAGCTTTCAGCCGCTTTCTCTCGCCTGATCTTACCAATTGGAAATTCCTTGATACCAAATATAACGATTTCATTTGTTTCCTGCACAAAATCCTTAACTTGATTAATGACATCGATTAACGGCATTTGTCGGGTTATACCGTGATTAATGTAGAACGTATGAATTAAATTGCGATAATAACCTATCCGTATGTCCAAATATCGTATGCCATGCATTAATTGACTATGCACATCTTCATCCTGAGCCAAAGCATATTTGGTGACAACTGTTTCCTTAATTAACGGATCGAAATTGATGCGATACGATCCCGAATCATGTGTGCCCGGTACGAAAAGATCTCGTATACGTAATCCGCCTATATATGAACGCAAATCGTTCATCCATGTGGGATAGGCACGTAAACAGGCAGTTTTTAAAATTTGACCATCTGCTGTAATATAACTGGCCCAATAGCCATAACATGAAGTACGAATTGTAACGTTTCGAAGTAGCCCACGATCAAAGTACACGCCCGTAGTAAACCATTGTTTCGCTGCTGCCGGCTTTAAAGCGAACAGAATGGGATTGAGACCTTTATTTGAAATCCAATACGTATCCCTCTCAATCAAAGATAATCCTTTTCTCGTTGTCTCGGAACTGTTTTCAATTTCATAACCGCTACCTTCTATGGCATCCTCAAATGTATTTTCTTTTATATTTTTCTCATTTCGCTTTGGGAAAATTTGTATATCTATGCTTTCGAAGCTAATCGGCTCGTTGGCTGTTAACATGATCCATTCATCTTCCCGGGCGGGAGCGTTTTCCCAAGAGACCTCTAGAAAGCGTTTTTCTGCACTTACTGTTAGCCATAGATTCAAATTTAAGGCATCTTCTAATGACGATGAGGAGGATGTCAAATTGCTCCAAGTTTCAATTGAAGTCGGTAACAAAAATAGAAAGAATATATATGTAACTGCAGGAATTTGCCGAAAAAGTATTAACATTTTTGTAATTTTGTTTTTATTGGATTTTTCCGAAAAATTTAATTTAGTGTTGTTTTTTTTTTTTACATTTATGCTTTACTTTTTCCTTAATGTTATTTATTTTTGTTTTGAAACATTTAAGTAATATACGCTTTAGGAATATTTACCTAAAATCTATGCTTAAACGAATACTTTCGACTACGCATGTGAGTGAGCGATGTCGCTTAAACTGATATCGAGATTCTGGAAATACTTTCAATTGCTAGTTAACGCGGTTAATAAGTTCGCTTCACTTTTATTAATTTTGAATAGTTAAAGAAATTAATTGTTTAATAGTTTTTAAATTCATTTTTAAATTATATAAAAAAATATATTTTTTTGTTTTTTCTTAAACATTATTTAACTTTCTGAAATATTGAGCACCCTTGGACCATAATAAATTGGTTGTTAATCAACAAGTTTGTGGGCCGGAAACAGCGTCCAATTCGCACAAAGGACTTTAAAATGTTTACATATTTGGTAACAGAATAAAAGCAAGTTTTTCAGTTGCTTTAAATTTATTTATTGATTTCTTTTTTTTTTACTTTGTAATTATCATTCTCTGCTTATCTCCGCTATTCGCAACAACGTTAATGTTTAAAATTCACACTGCAACTGAAAAGATTTTATGATTGATAATATAATTGTTTTTTTTTTTTACAACGATCATATACATATGTGTGCATGTATGTATATTGATGAATACATGAATTGAAAAATGTTCTTTATCTGCCCTGAATCGGATCCGCTGATTGTAATTTCATTGTGTAAAATCACATATATGTTTGCAAGCACCGCATGCACAGTGTTCTCTTTCGCATCGTAACGAACGGAATAGTTGTGGCAAAGCTTTAATGTTTACAAAAACGTGGGAAAGCTTTTTTTTTTGAAGAAAAATTTATATAAAAATTTTGTAAAAAAAATGAGATTTTTGAATGGTTAAGATGTGGCTAGAGATCTTTTTGCTTGTTTTTTGGAAACAATTAAAGCAGATACCTTAGGTTTGCGGTTAAAGAATCTAAATTGAGTTTACAGATTGACTTTATTATACGGCGGTTCCAAAATACGAAAACTTAAAACTTGAAAGAAGATTGAACACTCCAAAGAAGATATTAGAACCTCGAGAGTAAATTGGATACAAAAAATATATTCTGCAAATATATATATATATATATATATTTCAATCCATTAAAATATTGTTTACTCTTTTCTCTAGGAGTTTGGCACAACGCATTATCCTATCCGATATCAAAGACACCCTGAAGCTGCAAACCTAAATCACTGTAGTTTTTATCTCGATGAAGTGCAACGCCTTCTAATCGACTACTTGCCCCAATCATAACCTACTCCTTTAGAATTGTTCTCTTGGGGAGGGGGGATTACGGTTTGGAATTCTACCTTGTGCTAATGCTCGAATTTAGTCTTTGCCAGCATCTAAGCAGAGAATTTACCGATTCAACCTTTTCGCCTTTTTTTGTTTGACATCGTCATAAGCAACACTTTTTTTTTTGTCGCCAAAAGTTAAGCTTCTTCGAAAATGGCTCACTTTACTTGCAATTGAAGACCAAATCGCTGGCTGGCATTAAGTTTATTAAATTATTTATACATGCAGTGACTGTGATATATGAAATAAGTGATTTTAAAGAAGCGCCTAAACTATATTATGTTCTTTATGTTGCCAGCACTACTGGTGCATGTAATTTGAGAGTAATCTCTTTGTAAGCTGGTTAAAGCTTTTGTTAACCAAACTTTTGAGTTAAATACGATTCAGTGCAATAGGAAAATCGATTGAATCAAATCATCATTGTTCTTCGTATTCGTTAGTAAAATGAATATCGCCCTACAGCAAATATAACTGATACACAGGAGATTTAAAGAAGCTCAAGGTGATAACGAATTGTTCTTTTTCTCTTAACTTAAAGACGAACATATCTTGAAGTTCTTTCATCAGTTTTTATCTGACATTTTAAGCGCAAAAGCATTCGAAGAGCGTTTGCTTTCGAAAAAGTCAAAATTTTGACCTTTATTTCCAAAAGGCTTTTGTCAGTGCTATCGAACACATATCTTACTTACCTAGTCCGGCTTAAAATAAAGTTTTTCTGTTTCCGAAAATACAAATTACATTGTGAAGTGAATACATTTCTAATCAAATAAACTCAAGGGGTACAACAAATAGACCGGAGAATGGATCAAAGAACGGTTTATCCGCATGAGTAACCGAGTAGAGAAGAATTGCGACTGCCAAGTCAGTGTTTGCGAATTCAAATTTCGGTATGGTAGGTTTGCTTTGATCGTAGCTATAGCGAATGCTCAGTCGGGTGAAGACATAATGCTTATCGATTGGACAATAGGCTGTGGCCACCACCATCTCCCTATTTCTTTCTCTTTTCATGTTTCTTCCTATCATCTTATACGAATAGGGGACATATCTGTAGTCATGTTAAAAAAAAAAAAAAACTTAAAAAATAAGTCAGAGATCAACCTATACAAAAATCTTCCTTATATGATCCATAAAAGTAGCATTGACTTTACGGAATATTCTGCGTTCAAAATAATAGAAAATATTACTTGGGTATACATCCACTAGGTTGCGGCCACCATCTATCTATCATTTCTTTCTTTCTTTCTTTCTCTTTCCACTTTTATAGCAGTATGACTATCAATCGAAGGCATCTATCTATTTTAAAGATAATAAAAGAGAATTTTTTTGTGAATATCTTGTATACTTTTATTAAACAATTACGGATACTTTTTGCACAAAATGCAATTATCTTGATATAGCGTAATTCAGTGACTAATTAAGTAAGCTCTTTAAAAATTACTTTCCAAAATTTAAAATGCATGAAAGTATACATAAGTTGTTAAGATAATCGATTCATAAAAATTTTTACACGTTTGGTCCTTTGCGAGTGTATTCAAGTTTTACTTTTATTTATTATTATTTGTATTGTTTTGCCTTCTTTATGTAATTTCCCTAAACATTTGTTATTTTATTAAATGCGTTATCTTTTTATATACAGTGTAATACATAAATGCGAACTGTGTTTACCTTAATCTAGAGTGATCTCACTGTGTAAATATGCAGCGAAAATGATCAAAAGTTATTCTAAATCGTAAAATTTTTATATTTAATCTGTTGACCTTTCAATACTTTCTATTATTGTTGTATTGAAGAGAGCGCGACATAAATTTACCATCTTGTCCGAGAGGTGTCCATAACATCGCGGTTTATTGCGCCATGCTATGCATACGTAATAGAAAGGTATACCAGCCAAGGTTATTGTTAAGCCAATCAAGAGGTTAAGTGGTTCCGATAAACTAGGCATTAATACCAAGATTATACAACATATAATAAAAATAACCGGTAAAGCGGTATGCACACGTATCGGACGTGGTATGTTAGGTCTAGAAAATGAATTTACAAAGAAATTTTATAGTTGAATAAATCGTTATGTAATTACATAGGAAAATCAATTTACTTTGTTTTTCTTAGCCGCAGCATGCCAGCTACGCTGGCCACCACAGAAAGCCATAAAACGCAACTGAAATAGTTGATCAGTTTGTAGACGTCAGCCGTTAATAGCATCACCAAAGACATGATACACTGAAAATAAACGACACCAATTGGAATTTATTTTATACATTGACGTAACGAATAGTTTTAGAATTTTTTTTACCGAAAATATAAGTGCAGGTATCGGTGTCTGCTGTTCGATATGAAAAAGTTGAAAGAATTTCGGCAGATGACCCTCTTGAGCGCCGGTAGCAAATAATCGCGCCGATGTGAAGAGAACACCGTTTACACCGCCAAATGTACTCAAAGCAACAAATATCGGTACCATGAAAGCGAACGAACCGAACATTCGATTACCGAACGTTACGGCCACCGCTAATGAGCTTAACATTTCCGTTTTTGTGACAACAGCAAAGTAGGCTAAGTTAACTAACACGTAAATACCAGTAACTACAGGCATTGCTATCCAAATGGCTCGTGGCAGATTTCTACGTATAAGAAATTATTAAATAAAAATAATGAGAGATATTCGCACCTATGGGCATGGATCAAAATTCACGATTTACTCATGTGTACTTATACACGATATTATTGGCGTAATATAATTTATTCAGGAAATTATGGAATTATAGATGTTTCGTTCGAACCTTATGTGATTTGATTCAAAATCAATAGAATAGAAACTCATAATCAACTTAGGGCAAATTTTTAACCACCCAAGTAAAAGATTTCTTTAGATGTGCGCTTGTCGAGCGATCGGAGCATTTTTTGAGCTGACCTTTCACCAAGCCTTTACAGCTTGTAAGTCTGCGATCCTGCGTTCTCCTCTAAGCATTTCATTTTCAAATTATTCCTGCTGGGCGACAGCGGAGTAGTCTAGCCTATGACGTCTCGTTCTAAACGGATGGATAAGTCCAATGTAGTTCCATTCTTTAGCGGTGGACATTAAAAGGTGTATGCTTAGATCTTGAAAATTTTTATATGCGTCAAGAGTAATTACATACATACGAATCGAATGCGGTGTTTGTCTAAACTGCCCGCTGTGTAGAAACCAAGTTATAAGAATCAGGAAGATCTACAGTTCGATGCAGAAATGTCAAGTTTTGTCAGACAATGTAAAACAATAAGCACAACCTTTTGCCTAAAGGCTGGCCTTAGTACCTCGAAAAGGTTTTGTTAATCGTAGCAGCTAATATTTAATATTAGTAAACATTCCATGAACTGTTGGAATTTTCGTAGTCAAGGCAAGGAATTTATGATATTTGTCAAACGGTTGATGAGCAACAGGGAAACGAAAGTCTTGTAGACGGGATGTAAGGTCAGACGTTTTCCAGTGCTTGCTTACTACGATAATTTTTGTTCTTTCTTTTACCGTTAGCTCATTATGCGCTGTGTAGACTAATAAGAATAATTTTTCGGACAGAAACACAACACAAATTCGCATAGTGGTACGGTAGCGCGGAAGATGGGGGAATTTCTTTTTCAGGAATCATGGACTTGGCCTACGTTGAAAATCGTTCTAAGAATCTTAACTTTGACTAAAGTGATTTTATAGAATTTTCTGCTAGACTTGTGAGGTTTTACTTCCTTCATTTCCGCGTTGATATCGTGAGTGTAATAGATGTGCGTGTGTATGAGCTTTCTTTAACTTGTTAATGGATTTCGGTCCCATGTGTTCGCGATAGGATGTGTGGTTTTCTTTCAAAACGTCGTATGTCTTCTTTGATTGTTCTCTGTATTCGAGATGTATTTGTATAATAAACAAAAAAGCAAAGAAAGAAGAAAGAAAGTAAAACCATAAAGTTGTGAGCATATGTACTTTAAACATGTGTGTATCTGTGGGAAGCTGGATTACTTATCCGATAAGGAAGTTAACTGAAGATTTCTCTTCATGCATGGTCAGATTTCTTACGAAAGTGAATAAAATATAGCGATGTTTCATGTAAAAGAAACTTCACGCCGACGTCGACCCATATTTTTTTTGCCACTCCTACAAAAGTTTTCTTAGTCTGCACTATCTGTGGTGCAGGATAAATAACATCCAGAAGGGGTTAAGATAGACGCGTTGATTGGTTCAAAATAATTTTCTGAATCGATTCAAGTATGTATTTCTGTCTGATGTCTGCCCAGAAGCTTTTATGTTCAACCTACTGGTGGGAAATTCTTCAGATATTTAAATATTGACCTGTTTTGAGCAATGAATGATGGTTTGCTTGGACCATTTTTGCAATTACTCACTGTATAACTCCTTACTTCCAAACAGTTGTCATATGAAAAAATCCCTCTACGAGAGCCGTTCAGTAAAAGTACTAAAGTCATACCAAAAATTTGAATCGCATGAGCTGATTTTCTGTATCTCCTGCTGATTTAAAAAATATTGACTCTAATAACTACGATCGCGTAGTTAGTGACCCTCCATGCTCGTGTCAATCAGATCAATTAAAGAAACGTAATTTGAAATGTTCAAGAATCATTCTAATGCCTGCTGATCCCTTATTACAAAAAAGTAAAGTTTAAAAATAAAAATCCATAGTTTAGTATATTATATCCAAGCGATGTAGTAAAGTGAATTGAAATTAATACCATAAGAGTTCCTACAGCTAACTCGGGAATTTTCTGCAATTCGTAGTCGATCTAGGTAAGGAAGGAGTTGGATAGACTAATAACTAAGAAAAATTTCACTCACTTTATTAAAATCTCAATTTCAATTACATTAATGCATTTTCTTGTTAAGATAAGGATGAAGTAACAAACTAAGTCTCCTTTAAAGTTTTTGATATCAATTACATCAATTAAATGAAGCGTTGTATAAGCATACGTTTCACTGTGATTGACCTTAATTTTTATACCATGACGTAGCAAAAAAAAAAAAAAAAAAAAATTCTCTTTCAATTTTATCTTTCTTCTACTCACAATCAACAAGTGTTTGTGCACGAAATGTTCTTTACACAGTCACACACACACACACACGCTAGAGCATTATAATGGCTGCTTGTTGCAGAAAATCCTTGAGATCTAACAAGTCGACTTCGTCCTTCTAACAATGAAACCACTTAAATACATTGAAAAGTGTTTAACAGACAAGATAGATAGATAACTTGTAACAAGTTCGAATATATTACAAAACAAAATTATAAATGTATATATATACATATATATATATGTATAATATATAAAATATGCGCTTTTAAAGAAATTGCTTTAATTTATATGATATTAAACTTACCTATAAGGATCTTGTAACTCTTCCGTAACGAAGTTTAAATAATTCCATCCACCAAAAGCGAATAGACCCGAGTAGAATGCAAATCCAATATTAGTCAGACTATAATTTCCCTCCCAGAGATTATCGAAACTATTTGCTTCGCCAATAATCATTTGATAAATGCCCGCCATAATGATTAAAATTAAAGCCAATATTTTACCGGCTGTAAATACATCTTGAACTTTCATCGACCATTTCACCGATAAACAATTAACAGCTGTTAGGAAACCTATACGAAACAAGACCCAACTTATTGTTAAAAAAAAAAAAAAAAAAAAACAAACCCAAAAACCGCATTAAAATTTAAGAAAAAGTAAAATGCTCTTACATAAACAACCAGCCGCTAATAGTTTAACAGCATTTTCTGGCGGCTCACACTCTTCAAAAAATGGTTTTGCCGCATACTGAGCAAAAGTCAAAGCCACAATAGTCTGAAAGTTTGAAAGCAAAAAAAAAAAAGAAAGAAAAAAAAAAAATGTGTATGTATGAATGTTTTATGTACATTTTATCGTTTCTCTTAAACTCGCTTTTAATTGATTCTTGTCACCTGAGTTGTTGGTCTTATTATTAGCAAAGCAATCCATAAGCGTAAAAATCCGACTAAAGGTCCAAATGCTATCAATAAATAAGCGTAATCACCACCAGAACGTGTTATACTGGTACCCAATTCCGCATAACACAAAGCACCAACAGTTGAAAGTAAACCACAAGCAGCCCATATTAACAATGAACTACCAACGGATCTATAAGAATTTATTAAATCATTTATTTATTATGAAATTGTCAAAAATTTTCACAACATTTTTCTTGTTTTTCTTTAATAGACTAACTGCAGGCTTATGCAGACTTGATTGCACAGTCATTAATAAACAAAATTTACAGTTAGTCAACGCGTTAATTGCATATGTCTGTCCGAAATGCTTAAATTGTTTATGATAAAAAAAAAAAAAGGTTTTTTTATGAAAAATCTTTAATTTGATTTTTTTCGCATGCATTGTGTGTGTGTAGTTTGACCAAAGAGCTGATGAAATTTTAAGATTAATTACACAGTGCTTGCAGAGACGTATTATCGAATGGGGTTCAGAAAAATTGCCCATCAACATATTGTAAAGAGGAGGACCGATTGACTGACTGACAAGATGAGGTTTTTTTTTCTATTTTACCATCAATCACTGAAGGGATGACGCCTACACGTTGAACAGGATAATGATTAGAAAGAAGTAAGGAGAGACGTACAAGGGGTAACTGCGGTCTGTTATCCCTTTACTGACATTGTGAAGCATGCACGAAAGCAAGAAGAATGACAAATCCTTGTTGGTCATTATGTTGGTGGGAGTACGATATCGGCTATGATAAAAATAAATTGAATAGTTAAGGGTTTGAGAAGGGAGAAGAACTCGAAGAAGTGTCACAAGTTGTTAATCTATACCTATTCACACTTCTCTGATTAGATTTGTGTACAAGTGAATAAAATCTCATCTCTCTCTCTAATTTTTTATAACATAAACGGAACATAAACTTGACTAATGAATGGATGGACTAAGGTCTTTTCAGTTTTGTGACCCAATTACTAGCACAATCGTTATACGACACTATCACATTTAACAAATTCGCGTAGAAGGAAGATTGAAGTTAGATGACCGAATAAAAAAGTAAATGATTCAAGTTCCTCAAAATCTAATTGAAGCAATTTCTAACCAAAATACCTCTTGATAATTGTAATGATTTGCTTTAGAAGTCCTTTGACTACCATATAGTGAGTTTTAACTTTCAATAATTGGCTTCAGTAAACATGGCATTCTAAGGGCCAATATGTACTTGTACGTGCATTTTATCCGTGCCGCGACCTAAAAGACCTATTGCACTTGTCCACGCCTGTAATCTTTCCGCCACCTTTTTACATTCGAAGTGCCATACGGTATTCGGCGTAAAGAAACTTTTTGCACATCCCAGATATCTACAGATCGGTCGGCATTCGCGCCGAACATGAGATGAGATGAGTTTTCATCGCCCCTTCACAGAATCTACATCAGAGATACGTGGACTTTGCAGCTAATACGTGAGGGAGATTTGACTTAATGCGGTGAGCATAAATGTGATGCTCGTTAGTTTAATTACTTCATTTACATTTTGTACGCCTCTGGGTGCTTGAGTAGCGACTATAATGTAATATATGTGTGCATATATTGGATTACCATTCAATAACTTCCTAAGTGTTTTATTGGCTTCATTGGTGTAAATTAATAGATATATTTGTAACAAATAGTCGAAGATTTTTATGCATGACATGAATGGCTAATGATTTATTGAGATGAAGCAATGAAAAAAAAAAAAACAAGAAAAAAAAATTCGGAGACTCTGGAAAGTTTCAAAGTTCAATTATATTTCGAATCGAAATTATATTTACATTAATTCTCTAAAGAACTTTTCGAATCAAAAAGAATTTTTTTTTTTTTCGCATAGAAGCTAAACCTAATGAGTACAGCAGCCAAAAAAATTGTATAAAACTATTCAGGAGACGTACAAGGGGAGATGAATTCCTTTTTTTTTTATACATTTATATATACAAGATTATATATATATTATATTTCCAGCACTTGTATGAATATATGGAAAGAATTAATATCAAATTTTACAAAATCGTACCGCTTTTTTGTAGTAATGTCAGCAGTAACCTATAAGCAGTGAGAGAAGCGAACAGTTAAGTGAAGATCGTCTCTTATTTGACTTGTATTTATTTAAAAATTTAAGATTTGAATTTAGTTCTTTGACGTAAATTCGGTGTTTAATAAATATAGCCTTATATAGTTGATAACCTTATAACTTCAATGTGAGCAAAAAAGAATTATTTTGTCAAAGTCCACATAAAAGTATTCGTGCGCGAGAGAGTCGGCATTGAGAGTCGGATAATTGAGAGTTCATTTTCTTTGCTTCTGTAGTGCACTTGTCCAGTTGCATATTGATTATAACTCCAAACTTGTTGCCGTCGTCGTCGTCGTCGTCGTCGTCGTATAGCCACAAGGGACTTCGGGTTTAATCGATAAAACGAAAAGTATATTAGATAAAATCACTTAAATTTAAATTATTTTCTAATTTTTAGCAAATTGTCTAGCGAGCAAATACGCTATAATGGACGAGTAGCTATAGTGGCTGGTGATGGTGCCGTCTTTGGATGTGAATATGCCTTGCTTTTAGCTGAACGGGAGGCTAAAGTTTTTGTCAATGACTCGGGTGGCACAAACAGCAATGAAAGTGCCTCCACACGTGCAGCGAATTTTGTCGTGAACGAAATCAAATTAACAGGCGAAATAGCTGTAGCCGATCATAATTCGATGGTCGATAGGGCTAAGATTGTTGAAACGGCAATTAAGAATTTTGGTTGTGTAGATATAGCTACTAACAATGCCGGCATTTCGCGCGATCGTAGCATTCCAAAAATCTCAGAACGAGACTGGGATTTCGTACACCACGTCCGTTTGAAAGGTACCTTCAAAGACACCCTAGCCGCTTGGCTTCATATGAAGAAGCAAAACTATGGACGCATTTTTATAACATCTTCTGATTCGGGCATGTATGGTAATTTCGGTCAAGCCAGCTGCTCGGCTCCAAAAATGGTTTTGATACGTTCGGTTAATACGGTAGCCATCGAAGAGGAGAAATATAATATACACTGCAATGTTATTATACACCCAGCTGCTAATCGTCTAATACAAGATATTTTGATTATTTAAAGCCTCAACTGATCGCATCCGTAGTGGCTTACTTGTGCCACGAATCATGCAAAGATAATGGGAATGCCTTCGCGAGTCATGCTTTCGAGACGAAATAACCACCGATCAATTTTCAATTTTGCAAGCCCCTGACCGGCTTAATCTAAACCAGTCATAAACGCAAGGAGACAAATTCGCAATCGCCATATGTTTCCCGTGCAAGTTAAGGATGACTTCCTGAATTGCTTTTGCTCGAGATGGAAGGACGTGCGCGAAATTGCATTATATTCAAGCCTACATTTTTTGCACTAAATCTCGCGAATCACTTTCTAACTGCTCTATGATTTGGTGAACTTTCACTCGTAGTCAGCTCAATCATTTCCGTAGTTTTAGTTGCCTTTTTTCCCCGCCTAATGCAGTTAGGAGCAGAAAACAACACAATGCCGTAACTGACATTCATCTCTTTACACTTTGACCTACACTAAGCGACAACATTTTTTTAGTTAAATTGTTGTGCTCCGGTCCTGATCGTCTTTATGGTTATACATACTCGATCGTTTGATTGTTACAACGATTCCTTGCGGTGGTGGGCAGGAACGTTTTAAACTTAAACTAGCGATAACGCCTTACAAGACACTAAAAAAAGGGGTATAACATTTAGCATAAAACCAAGCATTACACTGTGTTGCCATTTGATAAAAGACCAAAAAAAAAAAAGAAGAAATTTGATGGTCTAAAATGTAGATGAGGGTGGATTGAAACAAGCATTTGTTTAATAAAGGAAGTCAGCTCTTTGAGTAACTCTTCATCCCCTACTAGCAAAATAGATTTAAAGTCCAGGAAGGATAAAAAAAAGTTGAAAATATTTGAAGATTAAATGATCAGCAGATTCCCTTAAGTTGCATGTGTCGCAAAAATCACTAGATGCCGATGCAGATGCAGACCCAATCATGGTCACGGCTGAACTGATTCGGAAAAGCTAGTCAGCTAACTAGGCCAGCAAACTAAACGAACATAGTGTTAGATTAGGAAAGCTCCGCAAAACATTGTTTGTGTAGTAGTATCGCGGAATTCCAAATAAGAATATTTATGTATGTCCTTGAAAAGTATATTCGCTTTAAATAAATTTTAAATCATTCGCACCAATACAAATATAATTAATTTTTATTTTTTCTTTTTTAATTAATGATCCGTAATAAAATTTACTTACCCTGTGTAAAAAAAAACTCCAGTAGGCGCAATAAATATACCTGAACCTATAAGGCAATAATAATAATAATAAATGTTATAATAATTTTTTTCGATTTCTTTTCTTTTCTTCCACATTTGAGGAAGTACTGTTACTATTACCTATAATAGTACCGACAATAATCGCGACTCCATTCATTAAGGTCAGTTTACGTTTAAGTACAATTTTATCTTCCACCTTTACAGCATCGTTTCGTGTTAAGCTATTATCGCCGTTTAGTTCAAATAAAGATGACTTATGATCACCATTTGTCGATGCCTTAGTTTTTGGCAATTCTGCCAAACTTGTTGTCACCTTATCGCCGTAACGTTCGGGCATTATTAATTTAATTGCAACTGATAAAACTAATGTTCTAATGTTAGAATCTTTCACAAAACTTTCAAGATATATATATGTGTGTGTCTGTGCCTGTGTGCCTGTATGTATATATATATGGCTTTTAAATTAAAATATCTATATATATATTTTATCCATTAATTGTATATTTTTCATTTCTAGATTATATGCATTTTTAATAAGAATTTATTGCTGTTAGTAGTAGTACCAGAGTACAAGAGTCGCGCGTGAATAAATTTCTTGTATAAATCAGCTTAAACGTTACGCTCATCTATACGTACCGTCGAGTGTTGAATTTATTACTAAACGAAACCCGTATTAAAAATTTTGTTATAACCATTTGGTAATTTATTCAATTATTTCGAGGATTTTCTCTACATTTGTGTAGCGTACATTCGGTTAGCGCTCTTCGAATCTCTTCATCTCTCTCTCTCTCTTTTTCTCTCATTTTTTTTTGAAAGTATTATTATTATTTCTTGTCTTAAGCCGCAGCTGATTGCTTTCATAATGTGCAATTTTTCTATTTATATATTTAAATGCCGGCTGTTTGTTTATTTCCTAAAGACGATTTAAAATAACGTTTGTCTAATGTTTACCTCCCTTCCCATGACATTGACAGAGAGTTTCATTAGACGACGATACGCATGTATCGCAAATATTCTCTCAAAGTTTAAATACAATAAATAGTATCTCGAAACGTGTTCGCTAACGTTTGTTTGTTAAGGTGACCAAATCTCTTAAATATTTCAAACAAAAATTAAATTTATTTTTAAAACGAAACGATTTGAAATGGTGGCATACCTTGGAGGAGACCTTTGGCAACAGTTTTATGCTCTCCAGGTGTTTAAAACATTGAATGGGCAGTTGTCGAAAAAATGTTTCGATCTTAATCATTTTCAACAGCCTTTGTCCTTGCGTCGAAACCCATTAGAATATCAAATTTCATGAAAATATATCGAAAATTGCGCCCTGTTGGTCGAACACAAGAAAGCAGAACAGACAGACAGACAAGCTTAAGACGATTTAGAATGTGATTCTGAGGTGGGTCTATTGCAATAACATCTGTTTTTGTTTTTTATTAACCTTTAAGTAGCTTTTCTTCGATTTTCTTTTTTAGCACTGAGAATATAACCAATAGATCTTAACGGTCTCATCTATCTACTTTTTATACTCCTCATCGCTTATGATCTAAGAGTATATAAAGTTTGTGCGAATGTATGCAGCACCTAGAAGCCTCGCCTTTTGTTATATTGCTTTCTGAATCACTTTATGAGTCAATCTAAGCTTGTTTGTCCGTCTGTCCGTTTTGTTTACGTGTGCTCAGCTTACAGTTAACAAATATTTGATATATTTTTATGAAATTTGATTCACTGATATGTTCTGGTCCGAGGACGAATACTACGGAAAGTGTTACGGATGGGAGCAATTTTTCTATCACTTCCCATTTGAATAACAGTCGTTGGTGATGTGGAGTATTCAACAATGGGCCTTGGTCCACTATAGTGTTTTCACTTGTTAATTTCTATTGACGTCTTTTGGTAATATAATAATAATAAAAAGATTTTCGTACCTTTGAAAAAGAAATTCCTGGGCACTCTAATGTTTGTATTTATGATTGTTTTGCAATGAGAACCATGCGCAAATTAACTCATAGAGCGTAAACGATTCAAGCGAGAAATATTTCCAATACTAAACAACTATATTCCAATATTTCGTCAGCCATGTGGGTGGAAAGGAAAAGTAAAACGTGCAAACGTACCCAACTTTGTAATACAAAACACATACTAATAATAATAGCAAAAGTGCAGCACTTAATATACATACGAAAGGCAATTAATTAGTTAGTTGTTCTTCTTTCTTGAAATATTTATTATTAAATAATTTATTTTATTTAGTAATTCATTTTATAAATTAATATTTATTATGGCACACCGCTTAACGCACCCACTTCTGTTATAATACTAAAATTTTTGTCCTTTTAACCAAAGGCGGAAAAACGATTTGCATTCTATGGATACACGGATGTACAAACTCTAATCTGAAGCGTGCATATATGAAAGCATAATGAATGCTTCACGCGCTTTTTATCCGCATTCATCAAGTTGACGAGTCTTTGATGTTAAGCTTAATAATTCTGCATAAGAAAGTACATTAGATGTTATCTATTGGACTTTAGTGATATAATGCAGCAAATCCGTTATGTCCCTTCTTCTTTTTTAGCGATATGCCCATTTTTATATTTCTAAAGAGCTGCTACCCAAATGTTCGCAAAAACTATCTGCATGCCCGATACAACGACGGCCTTGATCGATTTACTTTATCCACAATTAATGAGCAAATTTTATATTCTAAGGCATCGCTAACCTGAATCATCCTTGGATTGATCGTAAAAGTGATCCTAATGAACATTTGGATCGCAACTTTTCGGAAATATATTCACGGGATTCCTTAAAAGTAGGTACATGCAATATGTCCAAAATCTGGTGTTAAAGAGACGCTTTGAAAGTTTCATAGAGTGTATACCTAAAAAGGGCGGTATTCTAATTCAAATTTGAAATAATTGGTGTAATAATTAACAATAAAATATGCTCACATCATTAACGCATTCGCAATGGTCGTCATTAGGTCAACTCTCGGTTAGCACTTCATTCATTCACATGCAAAACTTCGAACAGGAGTTGTCTTCTGTTTTTATGCCTCCTAACCTTCCCTCGTTCCAACTAAATGAAAGGCATAATCCGAATATGTTTTTCTATTATTTTGATCTCAGAGTGCTCAGTAAAGTCAATATTGCTTTTATGGACCGCATAAGCAGGTATTCTGTTTAACTTCATCCCTACCATCCTAACTATCAATAGCTCAGTCAATAGCGCAGTGCTTGTCGACATGGTCATGGACTGTGTACATCAGCAACTTAAAATAACGTGTTCGTTGGATGATGCTGCAACATCTGCGTAAAAATGGAGAGAATTGACTACGCCTACCCAATAGTATAGTATATCAAAATTTGGTTTTTTTTTCAACACTTTTATTGGATGCAGAAATAAGCTTCAAAAACCCCATAAAGTGTTTAAATTTTTGGCAAGTTTCAAATTTGGAATGTAGCTACTCGTCTGTCCGTCTGTCGGTCTGCGCAACTGTGTAGTGTTTGTGTGGTAGACATTGCGCGGTTCGCAAAAACGAAGATATCCCCTAAAACTCTGTGAAATTTTTTGAAAATGGCGCAAATATATCAAAATGCATGCCTACAACGTCTACATGCCTGTACAGCGGAAACTGAGAGCACCTCTCCTTTCCGCGTGGATGTACGATACAAATTTCCGCAAAATTATTCCATGAAAATATTAAAAATCAGCCACGCCCACCCAATGTTATGGAATACGCAAATTTACAGTTTTTCCTTTTTCTCAATCTTGTACAAGATAACGGGGATGGGTGTAAAAGATTCGGTCAAGACCAAATGTAATTTTCTTAGTTGTTAATTGATTATTTTTGTGTTCTTTCTTATCTCCACAATAAAATTTATCAGTCGTTAAAAATACATTTATTATTTAAATTCGCTTTGCACAATTTTGCTATTTATCGATTATCAAGCAAATAATGATTTCTCAGTAAAAATTATATATTCTAGAACCTGACCTATACTAGTTTAGTCTTTTTTTTTTTTTTTTTTAATTCTCTGGCCTCGCTTATTGATCCGCCCAATTTTCTGATGAGTAGACCTTGTTTTTTTTTTCTCGTGTGCTTTTATTTTAGATCTAATGTCTGGCATTTGACGAGCAGTACTAGGCGCACGCATTATTTAAAGTCCATAATAGGTTTCGAAATTATTTTATCTTGTTTTTCATCATTTTATCATTAATACATTGCGATGTCCTTTGCATGAGAATAAAATAAATCATTATTTGCTTGCTTTGCGATATAAGGCCGGTACGCCAAAGCAACAGTACAACAGTCACTTCGGAAAGTGCGACTGAATCTTGAGATTTTCTAGATTTCGTTTCGCTTTTCAAATCACTAAAACTCTTTTATACATGCACTGTCTTTTCTGTACAGTCTGCCTTCGTTTATTTATGGTTTGTTATATTATGCGTGGCTTCTCGTTGTTCATTTCCAAAACTTTGGGATTAGCTGGAGTTAAGCTAATAAATATTAAATTTGCAAATTAAAAGCATAAAATGATTATGTAGTAGTTTTTAAAAGTTTACGACAAACATTTTTTAAGGGTTTGTTTGTTGTTGTTATGGATATTACTTTTCCTTATTTTTTTTGTTTGTTTTAATTAGATGGTAAGTAGTCTGTCTGGCTGTCTATATGCAGCATATGCAAATAAGAAACAAATAAAAAAAAAAAAAAACAACAAAACATCAATATACAAATTGAAATCAATCTTTCACAAATGAGTTTATGCTCAAACCCACTGTATCCATTAGCCAGTCAATCATTCATTCCGTTTGCTTCATTCATTCATTCAAATCAGGAAAAAGAGAAAAAAACCTGAAGAATGACAGAAAACATTTTGAATTCTGATTCGATTGTAATGGGCCAACAGCAGCTAAACAAGACAAGACAGTTTTAGTGATTACGTACCTAATATAAGAAAAGAGAAAAAAATAAAGAAATGCGAGACGCCAGTTGGGGAAATAAAACAAAACGTACAAAACGCGCAAATAAATAAATTTTTATGTAAATCATTCATTGTGCTCGCACACAGAAGTAAAATTGCGAACACTAAATGTAATGTATATGTGTGCGTGCGTGATTTTCCTCAATCTCCTCTCTTGACTTTTTCACTTTAATGCGCAATTTTTTTTTCAATTGGAATAATAACTACATTGCATGGGATATTTCTTCCAAATTGTGTAACCTATTGAAAATGCTGTTGGCCTAATAAAAAATTTCGCTGACGTGCCTAAAAGTATGGAATCGCGATTTCAACAATTTCGATAATGTCCAATGGAATTTGGCGTCGTTTTCCACAAAATCGAAAACCAACTTAACTTAATGCCAAAGAAGCAAAGCAACGATAATAATAATAATAATAACACACCTAACTGACTGACTAACTTTGTTGTTAATCATAAGAAAAGAGCAAAAGTATAGGAAACGTCAACGAAAATTTACTTTGAATATACTTTCATGCAAACATGCAAAATAAAGATTTCTACTTATACCCGTACTCTCTTACACGAATACACAAGATTGAGTTTTCACTGCATAACATCCCTCTCTCCCTCTGTAAATATTATGCCGTAAAGGTATTATGTTAGTTCGATACTAATTATATCTGTATGTACACTAATATAATATATATATATATATATATATATATACGTATAGCAAAAAAGGTTTTTTTTTTTTTTTTTTTATTTTCACAGAAAGATGTTCGTTTCATTTTTTTTAGTTAGTTGTCGTCGTCTGACGCTCTTGCTTATTATAATTTCTGATAACCTATTCTAAATAGAGCTCGATGACTGTTTTATTATCGAGAGATTATGAAAATCGACAAAACGCTTTATTCATTCCGTTGATTGGTGGTTGCATGTTTTGGGGTTTATTTCAGATAATATTCGCTACGTTTGAAATTCTTTTCGTTCTTCGAGCGATCAATTTAATAATTTTAGGCATTTCCAAAAAAAAAAGCGATTACTACATTCAAATTCGCTGCATAAGTAGACAAAATATCGAAATATAAAATGAAGAGTTTTAGAGTTGAATTTTTCAATTAAATTTCTTAGATGGTAAGAGTTTTTTTTAACAGTTTTTCCGAATACTCTGAGAAGGAGAAATTTAAAGAGAAAAAAATTAAAGAAACTTTGAAAACAAATAAATTTCATTTATCTTAAATGAATCATCGCCATCCATGAATGAAGCATATGTTTGCGATTGATGTTTAAACAAGTGTTCAAAACAGTTATATCAAATCGATAATTACTAATCAGTGGCATTTAAACTTGATTACAGTCAACTGTGTCGACTCTTTTAGCGATGAGTGTCGCGTACTCGTCAAACACAGAGTATATATGTAATCAGAATTTGTTGCGAACAAATTTGATAAGAAAATTCCACAAGGACGGATGGACGGCCTTTCCTGCACCGTACTTCAGAATGTCGATAAAAAAATTTTCTACAATATACATGGCCAAATAATAAATTTATTATAAAACTTTTAGAAAATTATTGAAAATAATTAGTGAACATCTCATATTTTTATCTCCGCAAAACTAATTCTGCTCATTGTAAGCTCAATTCAGTTTTCAATAATTTATTTATACAAAAAAAGAAAAGAAGGAACGTTTCAAAATAAAGCCCTGAAGTAAATGACTCTCGTTTCTATTCTTACCGCTGTAAGTAACACGCAAAAGAAAGCTTCAGAGACTCTGTAAAGTATACATCGATGAGTATAATAAAAGGTAGGTCTATCTTAAGCCCTTCTGCGTTTTACATACGGACGCACAAACTCAGGCTATTGTATGCATCGACACAAAGGTAATATAACGCCTACAGAAAGTGGTGTAGGATATAATAATATTTATCCAAAAATGTCTTAAGACTTCTATTAACTTATCGTATGATAAAAATGCTTGCACCCCATGCAGCTATTTTGCTGTATTTTATTGGAATAACTCAACGTTACGCGTGTGAAGGATATTCAGACTAACGTAGTAGGGTGAGTAGATTTTAGTGGATTTCCAGTTTGCAAAGACGAACATTTAAATCTGATTCATTAATTTTTGAATTTAATTGAATTAGTTTAATGAAAACATGAAAGCTTTCCGAAATTCCGGCAAAAGGCAAAAACTTTGTGTATTATGATTAATGTGATGATGGCAACACTGTAAGCTATTGTCACCTGTTCGTAGTTGATAACAAGAGAATAACGCAGAACGTGCAGACATTTGTTGTTCATAGCGCTGTTCAATTCCTTTAGAAGCGGAGATATCGGGTTCAATTATTGCTAAAGTGCATCTCAAAATATAATCGGGTAACTTTTAGCGTTAAGTAAGATTAAGATGTCTGATAGCGGCGACGAGGAATGGTCAACCGAATGGATTCCATACAGTGAGAGAAATGAATGGGCCGATGTGACTCCTATACAGCAAGATGACGATGACAAAAATCCAGTTGTGGCTATAAGCTATAGCGCAAAATGTATGTAAAATATGTGAGATTAAAGTAAAACTATTAGGCTTACGGCTATAAATGACTTTCAGTTCGTGAAGTGTATGATTATTTTCGTGCAATACTAGCTCACAAAGAAAAGTCACCTAGAGCTTTAGAATTGACAACGGACGCATTACGCTTGAATCCTGCTAATTACACGGTATGGCAGTACCGTCGGGATATTTTGAGAGAACTAGGTAGTGACCTGCATCAAGAGCTTGATTACATTGAGGAAGTTATTTTGGATAATGCTAAAAATTATCAAGTTTGGCATCATCGCCGCGTTATTGTGGAAATGTTAAATGATGCCTCAAAGGAATTACAACTAACAGAAAATGCATTGTCTGTAGACGCCAAAAACTATCATGCTTGGCAACATCGTCAATGGGCTATTACAACGTTTAAGTATGTTTTTTGTACTCTGGCTAAATATTTTTAAGGAATCTTTTTGTATCTTGCATTACTCTCCAGCCTCTTTGATAATGAGTTGGCTTTTGTAGATCGTTTAATCGCTGAAGACATACGTAATAATTCTGCCTGGAATCAACGTTTTTTTGTTGTAAAACATTTCGGTTTTACCACAGAAGTTATACAACGTGAGCTCCAGTACGCTGTGAATCGTATACGTGTTGTGAAAAACAATGAAAGTGCGTGGAATTATCTCAAGGGGGTTTTGCGTCAGAGTGGAACAACCGCTTTAGATCAATATCCCGAAGTATTGGAATTCAGTGAAGAACTTTATAACAGCGGGTCTAGGTCTCCATATCTATTGGCATTTTTAATTGATTTATATAGCGAGCAGTGCTTGACGGCAGGGGATTCTAACGCAAGGCAAACTTTAGCCAGAAAAGTTTATACATTATGTGATGATATGGCCAAGAAACATGACATTATCAGGCGTAAATATTGGCAATATATAGCTGAACAATTAAAATCGAAACTGGACTCAAATCAATTGTGAAGGTAAAAAACTCTACTTAAATATTAATTACAAGAAAAATATTAAATCAACAGTCTTAGCGTAAGTAATTTTTTCTAAATAAATTATTTTTGAATTACAACAAAAACAAAAGATAATTTAACTTCCTACGTGCATATTTGCATATATATATCGCTTGAAGGTAATACCTTATCAGTACTCGTGACATTTCTTTTTATCTTAATAACCATTTGTCACAAGTGTCAAGATAAATTTTAAATATGAAGGAAAAAAATTGAAACATGTAAACTTGTTAAAATTGGAGGATAAATTGCATCCATCATTCTATTCGTAACGCTTAGAAGCGTGTCAGAGACTTCCTATCAATGACTCCATGTCAATGACTTCCTATGCCGGGAGAATCTAAGTTAATATCAATACTGGCGCTCGATTATATCAAAGTTAATAGCTTGCAAAGACATTAACCCCATAGGAGGGCTTCGTGCCTTTAGCGATTTAAAAACTTGATTTTACAAAAAGAATTTATATTCGTTGGTATTATTATGCAATTATTGCCCTAGAATACAAAATTTGATACTAAGTCTTAAGAACTATGGCAACAAAACCCATTATTTTTTCACAAAGCGAGAATAGATCCATAAAATTCGTAAGGTTAGCATTTTAAGGAGCAGCGTTTACGATGTTTAATTCATAAGCTTCGTTTTATCGATCAAAACACTTGAGCAGTTTAATCGTCTTTTACGAATTTTGATATAAGTTAAGTACAAAGTATGGAGAACACGCTAATGAGATTTCGAAACGTTCATATCAGTACTGGATGAACGGATTACAAAAAAAAAAAAAAACTAACATCAATCTATTAAAGCCCAATTATCTCAGTTCATGGCTGTTTCAGAAGAAATGATGACGATCGTAATATATACACTGGTAACTGAGAAAAATTTTTGTACCCAACTTAGCGTGATCGGTCACTAGTCATTAAAGAAAAATTTTTCGGCTTTGTAGCAATAGGAATAGAAATACACAAGTAGTAAGACTTTTGATGTTCTTCAGATTAGGTCTACAAAAATTATCACCATCTAACGTCCACACCTGAAAAGTTAAACCATCAATTGTTTATGATTTACATTTCAGGCGCTCACGAAAGCAATACAAGTCTTAATGAAATTCTTACAGATCAGGTTTGGTACTTTGCCATAAAGATTTACTTCGAAGGGTCGGCGATACCCATCCACCTTACATTCGATATAACCTTAAATAGTTTTTTCATTTTCGGAATCGATTTTTGTCGATTCGTCAGTTTGTCGCTTGCAACTTTCTTTATTACTTTTCCTATGTTCGAGCGAATTGCTAAGATTGTTTCATTATTTATCGAAAATATATCCCTCACCTTAGGATTCAAAGATCGAACATTTTACATAAAATGAAGTAGAGAAAATTCTATTTCTATTCTAAAATTTCTTGTCCTACCCTATGCTTTTATTCATTTATCGAAAATATCTGTTAAATTGCACGAGCAAACGTAGTTTTCCAGTGGAGGTAAAGTGCACAAATACATCTCATCTTCAATCAATGCATTGAAAGAATGGGTTGACTTTAGCTCAGCAATTCTCTTCCTTCATAAAAACGCACATTTTTCAATATCTCAGGTCTATTGCTTATCATATTTTCCTTCCCTTTTCAGATATGGTATCGTTTATCTTGATAAAGTCTATTGTCGTATCATGGTTTCTATGCAAAGAGTAAAAAATTCATTTGCGATTATATCCGGGACTGTTACTGATGATTTAAATTCTGGCACATGGGTATGAGATTGCTATTTGTATGGTTCGGCCCTTTATAGGCAATTCTAATTAGCCTCCCATTTCTTAGTCCTTTAGGCTCCTTGATTCGAGATAGCTGTGTGCACGAGTATCAAAGTAAATTCGAATTGCAAGTTTCTGCTTTTATTATATTTATTTCAAATTTTCTGGCAAGATTTCATTTTATTCAGATTTATATCTTTTCTTTTTAGTTGATTACATTAGTTTAAAATTTCAGCATTTTTTTTTCTTTTCTTGTAAATTATTTGATGTTTTTTATTCAATTTTGCATTTTTTATTTAAAAAAAAAAAAAAAAAAACATTTTTTTCTTCTTAAACAATGTTGTTCATTTTTCTCCTATATTTCGGATACTTAGAAATATATAAATAGATTGTTTTAAAGCTGGAGAATAAAATTTTAAAGAATAGTTTTTATTTTCATTAAAAAAAATATCTTCATGTGTTCATTTAAAGTTTATAAGGTGTAAATAAATATATTTGTATATATATTCAAGTAATTGGTGTAGGTTTCTTATAAACTTGGTAGTATAAATAATTTAGAGCAAAAAGCTTAAGTGACAGATCGAAAGGAAAACAAAGTATTATGTTTTTTTTTTTCAATTAAAGAGAGATTTTCAATGGCCGTTTGTATTTATATATATATATATATATATATATATATAGCGAGATATTAATTGCAAATATATATTTATATATATATTCTGTTTTATCTTTTGATTTATACGTTACACCTCGATTGTGTGGAATTCCGCTAAGTATCTATTTAATTAAAAAGTAAATTTATAAGAAAAATATAAAAAGAATCTTTTATCGCTTTGAAGGGAACGTTAGATCAACATCTAGCAACAATGCAGAGCTATTTGTTAACTGAGAACGTGTCAATTGGACAAGTGGGGAGCGTCGGTTAAATTTGTAAATATTTGTAACGAATTTTGACTTCTGGTCGGACTATGTTTATTTCCTAATTTGAAAGACGGACCAAATACCTGCACATCGCATGAGTTTCAATGAGAGAAGGATAAATCTAATATTATGTTCATGACTTGAAATCTTACCTTGATCAAGAAGAAGAATATATATGAATTTTATGCAATCTTTAGAGTGTATTTTTGGATGTTATTATCCCTTTTATTCCTAAGGGTTTAGGAATTAAAAGGCTTGTATTTTGTTAAGCTTAGAATCGCAATCACACGGCCTTGGTTTTAGTTTTGAGTATCTGAACTCACTAGTAAATTGCATTTTCTTCTTGGTTACTTAAATGATCGGAGCAATTGACTAACTCATATCGATCGTTATTAATAAAAAAATGCATTGTAATTTTATTCTTTATCCTTTTTTTAACTACTGGAGGCGGTTTTGTGTGTATGTATTTTTCTCGAGCTCGAGCTGAAAATCTTTATAAACTTTGAAGCTCTTATATATAAGATCCAACCTTTTGTACTGTACATTGTTCCTTAGGCGTTTGTCTGTCGCATTGTTGATCCATTTCTGTGGTGGTGTGGGTATAAAAATTACCATAAAATATAAAAAAAAAACTTAAAAATATATACGTATGAATTAATAGTACAAAATAGAATTTTAAAATTCTTGCTTCTAACATATATATGGTGGCCACTTAGCTTATAGTTTCTTCTAAATAAATTAAGTAAGAGTTAAGAGAGTTTGAATGGCTTCATATAAATTTTGTAAAATTGTTGTTTTGATGTTGATGTGTTTTTTCTTTTTAGATAATCATTAAAAACTAATGGATTTAAGGAAGTTTTTTAAAAAACTTAATTTTTCTCTTATTTTTTGACCATTAGATATGTTATTACATGAAAGCAAAAATTTTGATATGATTATAATTTTTATTTTTAAAATTATAAAGAAATTGAAATTTTCCTAAATTTCTGCTCTAGTAGTTTTTAAAATACATATATATTTTTTTTTTTTTTCATTTCATATATTCCAAAGTTTTATCGGTCAGATTTTTCAACAGGCACTCAGTTTGCTTTACTATCTCTTTGTGGATATCATCGGCAGCTAATTCTGCATTAATTTCGTGCCAATAGCGCCTTTCTTTTGCGTAAATGTCTTCAAAAACATTTGAAACTTTTATTTGGAATTCTTTCTTTTCATAGCGTTCATCGCCAAAATTGCCACGTTCTAACAAACCATCAATGCTCTTCATTTTCATATAGAAGACGATATCCGGGCGCAACAAACCCTTTTCGGGTGCCAGACACCAGTTATATGAAAGACCTTTCGCGGTACTATAGGCAACACCAGAATACAAGTAACGATCTACAATCAGCGAAGTTCCAGATAAAAGTAATTCTTTCATCTCGTTTTGAAATTCCCAACGATTTGCTGTGAACAAGAGATGTATAGCTTCGTCGGATATCTGTTTTTTATTAGTAAGATACGCGTTAATTGTTTGACCAATATTTGATTTACGTTCCGGAAATGCCATCCGTTTGACCGCAACACCACGCTTCTGCAGAAACTCAAGCAGTTGGCGCGATTGTGTTGATTTGCCAGTGCGATCACATCCTTCAAGAACTATAAAAGCCCCCCGTTTATCGACTGAGCTCGTACCCATGCCGTTTTATTTATTTCTTTTTTGTTTTTTTTGGTTAATTGAAGGCAGCTGGAGGGAAACCTTTGCCTTGCAGGCATATATTGTCAGTAGCTTGAAAAGAGAATGAATGATTTGAAGATAGACTGTCGATGAGAATATTTAGGAATTCACTGATGATGGAGAAGCAGCAGATCTGATGCGTAGATAGCACGTTTCGTCCGTTGATTACGGAGAAAATTCTTAACTTTTATCAGATATATTTCATTTTGCTCGTTTTCTTTTAATTTATAAAACAATCTTGTAGCACTTCACTTTCTTTTTTTGTTGTACGTAGAGAAAGGTTTAAAAGATGTGAATTTGTCATTCATAATTTACGTCAAAAAATGCTCTTTTCTAAAACAGCTGATTATAGATGACCCAACAAACTTTTTTTAGAAAATTGCAATCAGTTGCTAAACATTTATTTTCCCTTTTGTTTCTTTACTTTATATGCGAGTATGGCGATAATTTTTTTATTCACATTAGATATGGTGAAATTTTTAACTTCATTAGCCACAAGTGCATACGAGCGTGAGATTATGAAGATTTTGTTTGAAATTTTTCATAAAAACGCTGAAATAATAAACGAGGAATAGCACGAAGATCGAATCTGTTCGCATTGGTAGTCCTGCTTATTAGCTTTGATTGGTTTGTAATAAGTACAATTTCAATGTAAGGAAATGTGTCGAGAAATTGTATTCGTCAGTTATTTGATTATCTGAAAGGACTGTCAGCTCATTAGACATGAATTTTGTAATCTTTCTACCTATCGAGCAAGTGGCGGGATAAGAGAAAAAATGGAGAAGAGAGCTTTTAACTTTCATTTCTTGTGTTTATGATCAAATGCATTTAGGGGTTAATTACTATTTTGAATGCGTGAGCGAAAATTTGAGAAAAAACGTTTTTTCCTGCGTATATATCTTGAGATCGTAGTCATGCTTTCATTAGATGCAAAAACGCAAGGATATGTATACGGATATAACTAACTGATTCGTTTTTCAACGCTGATCCAAAATAGTTTTTATTTATGAATTTTTTCTTCTATATTAATTCCGCTTAAGAAATATAGTTTCACTATATGCCTTGAGGAAGTTCAATTGAATAGCAGACCGAAGTATCCCAATTTGCTTTTTCAGAGGCTATTACGTTTTATACCTTCCACCGAGATTTGATTTTGTGAAATTTTCGATATATTTCGGTCCATGTACACAAATGGACGCAAATCGGCCACAATCACCCTATCAAAAATTCATTTTTTTCGTTTTTGTTTATTTCTTATAAAAGATTCGTCCAGGACCATGTATAATTTCTCAACATTTTTGCTGGCTTGTAGTTTTAAAAATATATGAAACGTGGTTAGAGTGCAGAATTCGTTGACTACAGAAAATAGTTGGGAAAAATCAATGAATTTGGGAATAATTATAAAATTTTAAACTCAAGAGAATAGGAAAAGGGAATGGCAATGATATAGAAGAGTTCAAAAAAAAAAAAAAATCGCCGAAGTTTTTTCCATATCTATGTATAACTGTTGTCCGTTATTGCATTTTATAAATTTTTCCACTACGGCAATAACTTCAATAAGCATCTGAGTAGCATCTGCAGTCATAAAATTCTAAGTAGATGTGAACATAAGCTATGCAGCTGCCGTGTACCTTTGTCTTTTGTGTTTAGGGGATTTTAAAAATTATAAGAAGCGAAACTACGGTTTTATTTAGGCTTACATATTACGAGATGTCATAAAATGTATAGTAGGCCAATAAAGTTTACATACGGTACGGAAAATTAAGGTTTTCTCATACTAAAAACTGCATAAATGGGTTGCAAAAAATATATTTCTTCAAAAAGAAAAACTTATATTAAATAATAATTCACATGAAAATCGAAATGTTAACCGAATTGTAACAAATGAACTCAAAAACAGTGCTGCCTCAAAAAACTTAGAAAAATATAAGCAAATTAGTATTCATACCGAAACCGTTTGAAATGTTTTAAGAGCCAATGATTTTCAGAGCCGCATTCCAAGGACAAACGACTTTTGTAAAATGAAGTTAATACCTTGAGTTTGTAAAACTCCATAAAAATGATAACATAAATTTTTCTAAAAACGTGATCTAAGTCTAAGTTTAATATATTCGATTACGAAGATAAACAAAAATTATGGAGGAAACCTAATATAGCGATGGCAATCCAAAATTTATTACTAACTGTAAAGCACGTTGAAGGGTTCGCCATGACTTGAGGATGCATGTCTGCGGCTAAAGTAGGAAATCTCCCCCGAAACATACATCGCCCATTTTAAAGGAGTGGCTAATTTACAACATCTCCGCACAATTGCAACCGTCTTAAGAAAGCTTTACTCTGGGGATTGGAATACAATTCGTACAGATGTAACAGAAAAATTAGTTTCTTCAATGCCAGGAGGTATACAAGCAGTACTAGATACTAGAGGTCGTCCAATAGATTATAAGTTTTTTTCTAATTTTAGCCACAAATAATATATCAAACTGCCTGCGAAATAAATTTTTCAAAATATTTTTTTGAGACTGAAGTATATTTTTTGTTTATAACTTTATTTTGAGGCAAAAGAAAACCTTGAATTCTTGTTTATGGTAAGTTTTTGTTTTTTAAGAAATATACTTTTTGACCCTTAACTCGTCAATGCAATTTTCAATAAGAGAAACCATAATCCTTCGTGTTGTACGTAGACTTTATTGAGCTACTGCATATTTTCCGTCATTAGTAGGGAGATAAATGCACAGAGCTGTTCGGAAGCATTTCTTAAAAGTTTCTATTTTAGAAAATAACCGAAATTAACGCAGTACTAGTTAAACTGTGCTTGATACGGCAGAGAAGAATCTTATATTAACCTTTGGGCAAGCGTTATCGAGAGGTAAACAAAGCTAAAACAAAAAAGAATGTAATCAATAAAGTTACGATTAGGGAGAAAATGAAGTTATTTCGTCGATCATTGTCTTTTCTGTGTCATCAACAGAAAGTTGTTTGCTCACTTCAAGAAGTTGACATTTAATACTTTAGGCGGCCGGACGATATATTTAAAATTGCAAGGAAAAACCAGCCGAAGAGAAAAATTTGATAGGCGGGCGGATGATATATTTATAATTCCTAGGAAAAGAAGGGCGAAGAAGAAAGGAAAAATCAGCCGACGAGAAAAATTTGATAGGCGGGCGGATGATATATGTATAATTCTAAAAAAAAAAAAAGGGCGAAAAAGAAAATTTGATATACACATTTGAACCGTTTTTCATTATATGGATATAAAATTGAGAGTCTTCTTCCAGAAATGTGAAGACTTTCTTTCAAAAATTTTATGTCCATCATTATAGTTACAGTCTCGATCGCAATAAGGGGAATAAAAATTAAACATTGTTTGTAAAAAATTTCGAAAATTTTGATATCGAAAGCGATTCAAATTGATACAATTATATTCAGAGAAGGAATCGAAAGTACAACTATTGATAAGCAAATACTTTTGATGATGATTACAAAGATAGAACGTATAAAGTAAAAGAAGCAAAAGGAGTATTAGAAACTTGGAATTGAATGGACTTGTACAGTATAATTGCATTCAGCTACCCCTCCAATAAAAATATATACTTGTGACCAGTACGTACTCTTAACCATTGTCCGAGTAATATCTTTCGAGACATTTCGTATTAAACAGAGGTCAGTTTGCACTTTTTAGAGAATTAAAGGAAAAGAAAGAAAATTCTTTGCAAAGGTATATAGTATTGATGAACATATTCTTGATGAGTATTATCGCCAAGCAGCTAGAGACTTAAGCTACTGAGAAAGTTTATAACATAATCAATGCTGTGTATCAATGCTGAGAGATCATAATAATAGCTATTAGGAAAGACCATAACTTAAAGATGGCTGGCTATTACTAAAAATGTTACATTTCTTGATTCAATTCAACATTGACCCGCACTGATTGCTGCTAAGGCAAGCAATAAATATTAAAACTATCGCTTCAAGTCGAATATAATTGTCTGCATTATTCGAATTTTCGCTTCAATAATAAAGTATTTCCAAGTCTAACATAACTGCTTAATAAGCTCACACATTCAAACTCTTACTTAAAACTCTCTTTCTTTGTTTCATTGTGTTTTACATCTGTAATTGAAATGAATTCAAAAAAAAAAAAAAGAAAAAAAAAATTTATTAAAATCATTGCTAAATATATTCAATATTATAATTTAAAAAGAAATTAAAAAGAGAAAATTTCCTTTTAAGCAAGTTTCAAGTTAAATTTCGGTAAGCAATGTAATCATGTTTGGAAGCGAGTTTAATTAAATTATTTGGAAATATTTTATATATTTCTATAAAATGTTTGTTATTTCCTTTTGCATTTAAAACTATATGGTTTGTTTCCCTTTTTGCCTTTTTCCATATTTTTGTTTTTTTTTGTTTTGTTGACTTGCATTAAATTTAGTTTACCTTATATTAAAAATCTAGATAATTCGCTCATTCCAATTTTTGTTTTCAACTTAATATCCCTTTTTTCTATACCTGCTTCTAAAGTTTGTGTGTGTGTGTGTGTGTGTATTTCTGTGTATTTCTATGTATGGCTATCTGTATAATAATAGTAGTAAAATGATTCAGCTAATCATCACTATATGCTTATTGTGTTTTTCATATCGTTTTCTCTCTCTCTTATCTCGTTATCATTTTAAAATATTAATAATTATTTATTTGTTCTCACCACCAAATGGTATCTTATTTTTTTTTTTTTTTTTTTTGCTTTTGCTTTTATTATTATTATTATTATTTTTATTTGGTATGTGTACGTGTGTTTATGTGTGTTTGTGTTTATAGTTTTAAACAGTATCTGGTAACCTATCTATTTATCATCTTCAATGCCTTCATCTGTAGTTGAAAATTTTTCTTGGCCCGCTGCTTCATTACCTTTGCTTATATCGCATTTCTCAGCCAACATGTCCTCAATGCCTTCATCTATCGGTTTATTTTCTTTATTATCATCGACTTCGAATTCGGGTGCTGACGGTTCATGAGCACCGTTTGTTTGCAAGCAATTCGGTGTCATTTTAACACGACATGTCTCATAGACTTTCTCAAAACCTAGCTTAGTGTAAAGACAGCGTGAAGCTTCATTTTGAGGACGTATCACAACAAAGGGCTGATAACCGCGTTCAATTACCAATTTAGTTAGAGCAGTAGCCAAACGTATCCCATAACTAAAATGTTAAGGAATTGAAAGAGAAAAAAAAAAAAAGAATAAGAAGAAGAAGAAGAAGTAAATCTCATATATTTATTAATTTTTTTTTTCGTTCGCTCATTAAGCTCTTACTTACCCTAATCTTCGATAATGAGGACGTGTTTGCATTGAGAACATTGCCCCATAATATGAATGCACCATCCATGCGGCCAATTCATTAGTATCCTTACGAAATATACCCAAACCGGGCAATACTTTTACCAATATTTCGAAAACATCGACGCATTCAATTTCATTGGCCGGATACAGATCATGTATGCGTTTTACATCATCGACAGTTAGCTGACGCATCTCCGCTTCTGCAGATAACTCATCAAATTCTAGATCCGTATTTAGTTTATTGCACACATAAATATCGCCTTCTAGTCTCTCCATTAAGCCAATTTTTTTATAAAAATCATCCAAACGATTCATTATAGCAATGTGCGTAAAATTCAGGTACAATGGCTGCTGCCAATCGATTAATACATCCTCGGTGCTCATTAAATCCACATGTTCAATCTGCTCTGATGGACAAAAGATGCCAAAGCTTTGATAAATATTGTTGTTGGGCTGTGCAAAAAGAATTTTTTTTTATTTTTTTTGTTATAACAAAGTTGAATAAAAATTAAATAAATATTTTTTTTTGTACCGTTAGCGTGCATCCTGGGAAATGTAAGATTATGGGTTTTTTGGGCCATTCTTTAGAGACATAAAATTTAAAATCCCAAACACGATCATTCAGGTACGTACGTATTGTTTGATGAAACTGTAACGAGGTTAAACAAAAGTATACTATGCATGAATTTTTTTTTATAATTATACTTTATATTTATATTCTATTAGGTATTCTTTCTATTCGGAAATGTGATTAACATTTGACGCAGGATTTGCAATTAATTGAAGTATCGTTTATTCGTTTTTGTCTTTATTTTATTTCTTAACAAAAGGCTCCCAGGCATCTAATAATTGCATTAAATAGGCGTTTTTGTAATCGGGGCAAGTTGAAAAGATACCCACCCACTATTCTTATATAAAACTTGTATTGACTTAAAAGGAACAGTTTTTAAACAAAGCAAAAAACGTTTAGTCAGTTTGTCAGCCAGTCATGATATGCTCGATAGAGTTTTTCATTCTTTTCTTTTCATTCATTCATTCAAAAAGGGGGCGGTGGATAGATATATTCCTATTAACGTGAGAGATAAGTGAAGAGTATATTACCACGAGATTTTCTCGCCGATCATTTATATCGCAAATGAAATTTTTTTACTTTTTTAGCAAATCTGTAATCAATATTGCAAATGTATATCAAAATTTCGGACAAGATAAAAAGATGAGAATCCATATTGAATCAGACATAAGACACGTAATCTTTTGCCTTCTAGTAAAATATGCAAAGCCTCTTACATTTTTCTGTTTGGAAGCCTTAAAAAGTCTTATCGCAGATTTTCGAAGACTTTTATAGCGTCCGTGCATGAATTTTGGCAAATTTAAAAGAGAGAATTAAAGAATATTGAACAATACTATGATAGTACCGTCATCATTTTAACATTCGAACAGTTTGAAAGCGTTGCTTAATCGTGCCGAATGAAGAAGGTATACAAAAAGATATCACTCACAAAAACTTGAACTTGTCGATTACTCGCCAAGCTTATGCTCTCATTTGGTTACAGCTTGTTATGCGCTATTCGAAACCAAAGCAAACATCACTGATGGAATTCAGCAAATCGTTGAAAGCGCAACAGCTGCCTTTAGTGTAAACGATATTTAAGGCATCAAGATATTTAGTTGATTAATAATATAGCTTGACAATCGTAGAAAGTAATTCAGTTTGATTTTGTTTTGAATGCGGAAAAAGGCAAGTTCTATATATGTTGATTGGAAACTATTTCCTGAAGACTATTAGAATATTACTAAAAGACGTCAGAGAAAGGGTAAATGATATAATAATTGTAGTAGAAGTAAAAATTATACGCTCCATTTAGGGCACTCACTAGCTGTTCTAGAAAGCGAAGAAATGTTATCGCACGAAAATTTGCGAATACTTGAGCTAATGCCTGCTGTAAACATTCCATACAGTCCCGTGCTTGACATCTCGTACGAAAAATTTGAAACATAAAAACTCAGCACATGAAAAGTATTGTCTGAGTATTCGCTTAGAGTTTCTATCTCGTTAAGCATCTGTGAATGGACAATGAATTGACCACTGCACACCAGAATCATTTCAATAATCGACGGAATGTCTTTTGAATCAAAGTGAGAAAGTACGCAAACGCTGTTAGGAAAAGTTTTCGGTGAATCTTTGATCGGCTGCACATGTTATAATCGAGAATCAAATTCCTTGAGAAAAGTAAAACAGTAACAAGCACAAATTATTCATTTCAAGAAGGAAAAGAAGACTCTTTCATTTCAAGAGGGCATTTGTTCACTTATCTAACATTGTGCCGATAAAATTGCATGAATTCGAATAGGAATTGTTTCCTCCAGTGTCCCACAGATTTAGCTATTGGCGAGTATTAATTGCTAGTAAATCTCTAAAGATAGCTGCCTGGTAAGTGATTTGCATTAAAGGGGAACAATGCGTTATTTGCATTTGCATTATTTGAAGGAGTTATAAAAATTGGAAAATCATCCGATTCCATATATCGAGCTAAGCGAAGATTATATTGGATTCTAAAAACCAATTTCGCCTAAATATATTATAGATAAGCGAGGATAACCGTTGTGATCGAATATTGCTATGTTGTCGAATTCGGAGTGACACGGAATCGTCACAAAATGATAGGTAAATTTTGGATTCAATTTCCAAACAGTTAAAATTCGGGTAGTTTCGATAGCTGGTAAAAAAGTAGAATGCGAAGATCATTCTTCGCCCTGACGCCATTCAACGGCAACATTTTTTCTCTTTGTTCAAAGATTTCGGTTTCTAAAAGATTCACTTTGTCGTTGTTTTCCAATAATTGTTGATCTTTTTCTTTCAATCGTTGCCCTTCTTCGTTCTTTCTTCTAGTCCACTTCAGTTGATTGATTACAATGCCACCAGAAGATATAAGAAAGTGATCAAAGCTAAATTAAAATCTTGCCAGGAGGCGGCCATATTAAAAGAAGCCGATATTGAAAATTAAAGAAACACTTTAAAAGTACTTTATAACTCTCTCTCTTTCTCTCTCTCTCTCGCTCTCTTTTATAAAACTACTTTAAAGTTCTTAGTATTTTAAACAAAAATTTCATTTATTACGATTAGCGTAACATAAGCATAATATATTCCTATTTCTCGAGGTAAAAAGAAGAAGAAGAAGAAAGCAGATTGCAAAAGGAATTCCAAATCAAAATGTTAATGCATTAATTTGCCCGCAGGAATTGGTCTTTTAATTGTTGTAGATGATATAACCAGAAAACCTTGAGCTTGACTGTAAACATATATCACATGCAGTGCTATTGTTTAAGTAAGCAAATAATTTTCAGACTTAACGAAGCGTATAAATACAGCAAACATTCTTTAGATAAATAATAGAAAGTACGAAGAAAAGGAAAAGAAATTTTCATTGTGCTCGTTCAGGTATTATGGGAATTTAAATTCGTACAGTTATTATATAAATGTTTGCACATAAGCTTATATCTATTTACATGTTGTACATATATAAAAAAATATTCCAAAGCAATTTTCATTTTCATAAATAAAATTGAGTTCGACTTATCAATAAAAGATGTAAAAGACTTAATGATGACATTTTTCTTCTCCCTTTATATGATGCAAGCAAGTGGTTCGATAAATTTATGATAAATACGAAAATATTATCGTCTTAGGGTTTTTACTCCTTTACTTCATAATTAATGAAAATTTTAGGACAATAGAGACAAAACCGACATTTATTTATTACACCCTTTGCATTGTAGCCGAAAATCTAACTAAACACGCCAAAAAAAAAAAGAGAGAAATAAATAAAACGAAAGTTCAAAGGAGGCTTTACCTTTCCTTTTATGTATATTTATGTGTTAGGTGCTTGCATGTATTTCGATCATTTTACGATTGAGTAAAATTGGTACACTGCATATTTAACCAAAATATTTTCCATCATTTTCTATAACTTTTTCCCATCTTTGTGGCAACATGGCGATCCCGTGTCGAAAGAACGATGTTGGTTTGCCAGCGATCAATCAATCGACACATTTTTGCACTTCTTCGGCATTTTAAGAGCGTGTGCCAGCCAAGCGATACTTAATCGATTTAAGCAAGTAGTAATCAGAAGGCAGTATATCTGGTGCGTACTCTAGATGCCGCAAAACTTTCCATTCGAACTGCAACAGTGTGTCCTTGCCAAGTCTTTCAACGTTTGGCCGGGCGTTATCATGCAAGAGGATGACTTTCCGCATGTTAGTCGCTAGTATTTTTCTAATAATAAATGATTCCATTTGTTCAATTGAGGTCAGTAGACAACTGCAGCAACAGTTTCATTTGGTTGTAGCAGCTCGTAATTCACTATAACTTACTAGTCCCACTGTATGCATAGCAAAACTTTATGGCCAGGAATACTCCGTTTCGAAATCGATGTGGATGACTCGGCTGGACTAACTCATGACTTTTTGCACTTGGTATTGTCGTAGCAGATCCATTTTCCAGCGCCAATCATAGTACGCCGCAGAAAAAAAATTTTTTTTTTTTCTGGCGAAGCAATGAAACCGCGATATTAAAACGGCTCGAAACGGCATTGGAATATGTCAGCAATAATAATAAATGGAAAATTGTTATTGTTTATGTAGAGACAGATTAAAACCAACCGCTGTGTACATTGATACTTTGCATTACTTTATCATTTTGATCAATATACGTCCTGATCGATATACATGCAATTATCTTTATTAAATTTTTCTATATAAAGCAGTTGCAAGTCAGTGTAGAAGTGAATGCGGTAAACGAAAGTATGCGGTATACCGAAAGTTTTTAAAGTTTTCTATATCCTATAAAGGATATTTAAAAATTTTTATTTGATATCTCTGCTCAAGTCCTCAGTTAACAGCACTCATTGGCAGATCTTATCATTTTAATAAGTGGATGCGACACATTCTTGGATATAAGAATAGATGGAACAGATCAAAATCGGATAAATAGGCTGCATGTTCTACAAATGCCTATAGTAGTTTTACTTTTGCCAAGGCATATTGCTTAGCGAGAATACGCGGTGTTTGCCTTGACTATCATATTGCATCTATTATTTTATTTGTTGCTATCTCTGTAGGCTGTGGCGTTTAGATTTTATGCGCGCAAATCAATCGTGCATTAGCATTAGCTGGATTCTTTTTGAAAGCACTTTTTTTGCACGTGCAAGCAAAGCACTTCATTGGAACTAAGTCTTAAAAGCTTTTATAAAATCTTTTCTCGCTTCACTTCTTTAGCTGACGATGATTGACACCTACAAAGTTTTACATTGCAGTGTTAAGGTAGAAAGTTGATTTGAATATAAATAAACATTTGAAACGTTTAGTTTAGAAATAAGGAATTAAACAAGTGATTAAAACGATTTAAAATAACATGAAAATAATAACAAAATTGTTTTTTAAATCCAAGCAACCCCAACATTGGATCAAAACCGTTTTATCTTCAAATCCAGGTATGGGCAACCATCGGTCGATGATATTATCAAGCTCGGTTCACTACGTTGAAAATTTTAAATAATTCAATTTTCTCGCACACAGCAATGCTACGAATGGTTTACATCTGTTTTCACTCAACGTCTCAGCTGTGCAACTATCAAACGTGAAATTTGTTCG